GAGACTGTGCCTGGCCGGTGCCCCTTCGCCTGCCCGCAGATTTCCCATATCATCCTCGCCGGAGAGCGGGGGACCCGCGCCGCATCCTCCCGGTATCTTGCCACTCCCCTTGTTGCCGCCTGCAGCCAGTGTCCTCTCGGGGGCCTCGAGCCCCGCGGCTGCCGGCCGGCGCTCTCGCGCCGCGGTCCCTCCCGGCCGCGGCGATTGCCCAGCTCAATATAACCCTCAGGCAGCCGAGGCCCGGGCCGCGGGGCGCCCGGGCCGCCATGTGCGTTCGAAATGCCGATGATCACTGCGTTCTGCAATTCACACTGATTCTCGCAGCTGGCTGCGTTCTTCATCGGCGCAAGAGCTGAGTGATCCACCGCCAAGATTTGTATCTCGTTTTTCTTGGGGGGGGTGGTTGGCTCTGTCGATCACTTTTGATAATTGCGCCGGTGGTCGGCCGCTCCGACAGCGTCCCACCGATCCCCCCGGTCCATTTGAGGCTGAGCCCCGGCGTCCCGGGGCTCCAGCGAGCGCTGGGAGTCCCGCGCCCACGCGGCGCGGGCTCCGGCGCACCCCGGCGTGGGCCACTCCCGCCTACACCCGGAAGACAGCACGGTGGCCGGCCCTCCCCGCCTCGTCGGACGGAAGGGGGCCGGCCGGGCACGCTCTCTCTGCTTGGTAATGATCCTTCCGCATGTTCACCTACGGAAACCTTGTTACGACTTTTACTTCCTCTAAATGATCAAGTTCGATCCTCTTCTGGACGCAGGAGCGAGGCGCCGGGGGGCGCCCCGCTGCGGCCCGTCCGAGGATCTCACTAAACCATTCAATCGGTAGTAGTGACGGGCGTTGTGTACAAAGGGCAGGGACGTAATCAACGCGAGCTGAAGACTTGCGCTTACTGGGAATTCCTCGTTCAAGGGAGACAATTGCAACTCCCTATCCCAAGCACGAATGAGGTTCAACGGATTGCCCAGACCTTCCAGCCAAGGGCGGCTACCCGCTGATCCCTTCAGTGTAGCGCGCATACGGCCCCGAACATCTAAGGGCATCACAGACCTGTTAATGCTCAATCTCGCGTGGCTGAACGCCACTTGTCCCTCTACGAATGCCCCAGTCAGTCCCTCTTAACCATTACCCCGAGTTCCGAATACCAACGCAATAGAACCGAGGTCCTATTCCATTATTCTATGCTCTGCTGTCCAGGCGGTCGGCCTGCTGTGAACACTCCAATTTTTTCAAAGTAAACGTTTCGGCCGCGCTCGTCACTCAGTCACGAGAACCAGGCGGAGGCCCAGAGGAAGGCCAGGCGGGCAGTGGCGCGCCTTGCGGCGGACCGCCAGCCTGCGCCCAAGATCCAACTACGAGCTTTTTACCTGCAGCGGGAGGTCCCCGGTCGGGGATCCTGCCTGCCGCCGCGGGGCGCCGCCCGCCGCCTGCTCGGCGAGCGTGCCGCGGGGGGCCCCTGCCGGCTCTCCGGGCCTGGGACGCCGCCGCGCGACGTCAGTGCGCGTCGGGCTGCCCAAGGGCGGGCCGGTCCCTCCGCTCCGCTGAAGCTGCCGGGCCGATCTGGACGTCGCAGATATTGCTGCTCGGGGGCAGCGGAGAGCCCGCCGCTCTCCGAGGGGCCCTTGCTCCCCTCTCTCTCCCTCGCTCTATCCTGCTCGCTCGTCCCCAGCGGGCCGGGCTGCCGCTGCAGCCCCTCCTGGAGGCTTGCGGGCACGCACCAGCGCACCTCCCGTCCCGGGGTCCGGCCAAACTGCAACCCCGGGAGCGGCCTTTCCGACACCTCTGGGCAAGCCGGGCGGGCCGGCCGACGCTCTCCTGCGCTGGAGGGGTCGGCCGGCCGCGCCGAAAACGCCGTTAACGGAGCGCCCGGAAGGGCCTCCCGGCGGGGCGGTGAGCCGCCACTTTCGTCCAGCCGCTCCAGTGCGGGGCTTGTCCAGACCCCAGGGGGAATCGCNAGATCACAAAGCAACGTCGCTATGAACACTTGGCTGCCACAAGCCAGTCATCCCTGTGGTAACTTTTCTGACACCTCTTGCTTCAAACTCCCAAGCTAAAAAGGATCGATAGGCCACGCTTTGACGGTCCGTATTCATACTGAAAATCAAAATCAAACGAGCTTTCGCCCTTTTGCTCTGCGCGAGGTTTCCGCCCTCGCTGAGCTCGCCTTAGGACACGTCTGCAGGATCACTTGCTTGGCAGCTCGGACCGCCAAGAAGAACGGAGGGCTCCGCCTGCGGGCTCGGGAATATTGACCCGATTCCCCTCGCCCGGGGGGCGAGTCCCTTGCCCTGCGAGGAGGAGGGGGGCGCCTCCGGTCGGGGCGGATCTTCCCTGGGGCTTAGGATCGACTGATTTACAACTGCTCTTCACATGGAGGCCTTCTCCGCCATTCGGCCCTCGAGGATCTCACTCGAATATTTGCTACCACCACCAAGATCTGCACCCGCGGCGGCTGCACGCGGCCTCGTGGCCGGCGCTTCGACGTGCACCGGGGCGGCCCTCCTACTCGTCAGGGCGTACCACCCGGCGGCGGTCCCACTCGTTCTCTGCCCCGACGGCCGGGTGTGGGCGGCACGCTCAGCGTCCATATTCAGGGCTAGTTGATTCGGCAGGTGAGTTGTTACATACTCCGACTTCCATGGCCACCGTCCTGCTGCCCGTATCAACCAACGCCTTTTCTGGGCTCTGATGAGCGTCGGCTGCAATGCGGTGCCCTAACCCGGCGTTCGGTTCATCCTGCAGCGCCAGTCCTGCTTACCAAAAATGGCCCACTGGGCGCCCGTGCATTGAGGGCCCGGCCCTGAGCCGGCAGGTAGGGCCCCGCACCAATTTAAAGTTTGAGAATAGGTTGAGGTCGTTTCGGCCACAAGGCCTCTAATCATTCGCCTACCGGATGCAACTGCTGTCTCTCTCTTTCCCAGGCGCCAGCTATCCTGAGGGAAACTTCGGAGGGAACCAGCTACTAGACGGTTCGATTAGTCTTTCGCCCCTATACCCAAGTCGGGCGATCGATTTGCAGGTCAGAATCGCTGCGGACCTCCACCAGAGTTTCCTCTTGCTTGGTCCTGCTCGGGCATAGTTCACCATCTTTCGGGTCCTAGCGTGCCCGCTCTTCCTCCGCCGCAGCCGCGGGGGGCTGGCGGCTAGGGGGTGCGCTGAATCTCCTGGGCCCGACGGCTTCACGTACTCTTGAACTCTCTCTTCAGAGTGCTTTTCAACTTTCCCTCACGGTACTTGTGCTCTATCGGTCACCTGCCGGTATTTAGCCTTGGATGGAGTTATCCACCCGCCTTTGGGCTGCGCTACCCGACTCCCGGAAGCCCTGGCCGCCGGCCTGACGGCGCCCACAGGGGCCTGACACCCGCCACGGAACGGAGGGGGCCTCGATGAGAGGGACCTCGGCACCACCGCGACAGCCGGACCGGACTTCCCTACGCCACAGTTCCCGCGGGCCTGCTGGGGGCCCGGGGATTCGGCGCTGGGCTCTTCCTGCTTTGCTAGCCGCTACTGGGGGAATCTTGGTTAGTTTCTTTTCCTCCGCTTAGTGTTATGCTTAAATCGAGTGGGTCCTCTCACCCGACCTGGGTTCGCAATAGGCCTCGTCTCTATCTCTCTCGCCTCCCGGACCACCTGGGGCCTTGGAGGCTGCCAGGAAGGGGGCCCCCTCTGCGGCCCGTCCGCGCGGGCTCTCTTCTCTCTCTCTCTCTCTCTCGGCGCTGGGCGCCCACTCCCTCTCCAGCGGTCCACTCGGAGATCTGCCACGGGGCCGGCGGCACTCGGTCCCCGCTGGCTGGGCTTTGCCTCACTTTTTTCTCTCTTGGCCTGCCCTGCCTGCCTGGCCTCCTCCCGGCGCGCTCCCTCGAGGCCTCCCGTGTCTTTCTTGTTCGGCCAGGGGGGGGGACGACCGGCGCTCGTGGGTGGGGCGGATACTCAGCGCCGACCTGCCACACCACGGCGGACTCCCCCGAGGAGCCACTCGGCCCTCCGCGCGTAGACCGTTGCCGGTGGGTGCCCCTTCGCCTGCCTGCAGATATCCCATATCATCCTCCCCGGAGAGCCGGGGACCCGCGCCGCAACCTCCCGGTCTCTTGGCACTCCCCTTGTTGCCGCCTGCAGCCAGTGTCATTGCGGCTCCTCGGGCGCACCCCGGCTTGGGCCACTCCCGCCTACACCCGGAAGACAGTACAGTGGCCGGCCCTCTCAGTCTCGGCGGACGGAAGGGGGCCGGCCGGGCACGCTCTCTCTGCTCAGTAATGATCCTTCCCCAGGTTCACCTACGGAAACCTTGTTACGACTTTTACTTCCTCTAAATGATCAAGTTTGATCCTCTTCTGGACGCAGGAGCGAGGCGCCGGGGGCGCCCCTCCGCGGCCCGTCCGAGGATCTCACTAAACCATTCAATCGGTAGTAACGACGGGCGGTGTGTACAGAGGGCAGGGACGTAATCAACGCAAGCTGATGACTCGCGCTTACTGTGAATTCCTCGTTCAAGGGAGACAATTGTAACTCCCTATCCCAAGCACGAATGAGGTTCAACGGATTGCCCAGACCTTCCGGCCAAGGGCGGCTACCCGCTGCTCCCTTCAGTGCAGCGAGCGTGCGGCCCCGAACATCTAAGGGCATCACAGACCTGTTATTGCTCAGTCTCGCGCGGCTGAACGTCACTTGTCCCTCTAAGAAGTCCGCGCCCGGCGGGGCGGCCGGCGCGACTATTTAGCTAGCCAGAGTCTCGTTCGTTATTGCAATTAACCAGACAAATCGTTCCACCAACTAAGAACGGCCATGCACCACCAGCCACAGAATCCAGAAAGAGCTCTGAATCTGTCAATCCTCACTGTGTCCGGGCCGGGTGAGTTTCCCCGTGTTGAGTCAAATTAAGCCGCAGGCTCCACTCCTGGTGGTGCCCTTCCTTCAATTCCTTTATCTTTCAGCTTTGCAACTATACTTCCCCCGGAACTGAAAGACTTTGGTTTCCCGCAGACTGCCCGCCGCGTCATTGGAGATCAACCAGGTAGCCCCTTGGGGCCGGGACCCGCCAACTCGTGCCCTTCGGACTGCTCGGCCGCGCCGCGGCTGCCGGGCCGCGGCGCCGGAGTCCTGCGCCTCTCTGCTCTCGCTCGCCGCCTGGCCTCCGCTGGAATGCCGCCCGCCGCCGGTCCTTCGCCCTCTCCAGCCCGGCCGGGGCGGCACTTCCTCTCCACTTCCTCCCCGGGCGCGCGGGCGGCCGCTGGAATGCCACCCTCTGGCCCCATTGTGCCGGCCTCCTCTCGCCTCGATCCCGGAGGGGGCGGCCGGACCAGCCGGGAGGCTGGCTGAGCTGAGTTCCCTCCGTCTGGGAGATCCCCGGTCGGGGATCCTGCCTGCCGCCGCCGGGGCTGCAGCTCGGCGCGACCGCAGGGNCTGCCATACCGGATTTCCTCACGCCACAGTTCCCTTGGGCCCGCTGGGGGCCCAGGGATTCGGCGCTGGGCTCTTTCCGTTTCGCTAGCCGCTACCGGGGGAATCCTGGTTAGTTTCTTTTCCTTCGCTTAGTGATATGCTTAAATCGAGCGGGTCCTCTTGCCCGACCTGAGGTCGATGGGTTCGCAATAGGCCTCGTCTCTATCTCTCTGGCTTCTCGGGGCCCACCCGGCGCCTCGGAGGCTGCCAGGAAGGGGTCCCCCCCTCCGCAGCCCGTCCGTGCGGGCTCTCTTCTCTCTCTCTCTATCGGCGCTGGGCGCCCGCTCCCTCTCCGGCGGTCAACTCGGAGATCTGCCACGGGGCCGGCGGCACTAGGTCCCCGCTGGCTGGGCCTGGCCTTCCCTTTTTCTCTCTTGGCCTGCCCTGCCTGCCTGGCCTCCTTTGGGCGCGCTCCCTCGAGGCCTCCCGTGTCTTTTTTGTTCGGCTCGGGGGACGACCGGCGCCCGTGGGTGGGGCGGATACTCAGTGCCGACCTACCACACCATGGGGGACTCCCCCGGGGGCAACTCGGCCCTCTGCGGGGAGACTGCGCTGGCCAGTTCCCCTTCGCCTGCGCGCAACGCCTGGCCGCTGGAATGCCGCCCTTTGGCCCCATTGCACCGGCCTCCTCTCGCCTCGATCCCGGAGGGGGCGGCCAGACCAGCCGGGAGGCTGGCCGAGCTGAGCTACCTCCGTCTGGGAGATCTGGGGCTCCGGCCGGGGGGGTGGGCGATGTCAGTGCGCGATGTCAGTGTGCCTTGGGTTGCCAGGACCCGGCGGAGGTCGGGTGCGGCCCGCCCCAGGGCGGGCCGGTCCCTCCGCTCCGTGGAGGTTGCCGGGCCGATCTGAACGTCGCATATATTGCTGATCAGGGGCAACGGAGAGCCCGCAGCTCTCCGAGGGGCCCTGGCTCCCCTCTCCCTCGCTCTCTCCTGCTTGCTCTTCCGCAGCGGGCCGTGCTGCCGCTCCAGCCCCTCCTGAAGGCTTGCGGCCACGCACCACCGCACCTCCCGTCCCGGGGTCCGGCCGAACTGCGCCCCCGGGGAACCCGGCCGACGCTCTTCTGGGTATGAAGGGTCGGCCGGCCGCGCCGAAAAACGCCGTTGACGGAGCGCCCAGAGGGCCTCCCGGCAGGGCGGAGGGCCGCCACTTTTTTCCAAACCTACCGTCCCGGGGCTCTCCGGTAGGGCCAGCCGCAACCCGGGAGCGACCTTTCTGACGCCTGTAGGCAAGGCTGGGCAGGCCAGCCGACGCTTTTCTGGGCATGAAGGGTCGGTTGGCCGCGCCGAAAAACGCCGTTGACGGAGCGCCCGGTGGGCCTCCCGGCGGGGCGGCGAGCCGCCACTTTCGTCCAGCCGCTCCGGAGCGGGGCTTGTCCAGACCCCAGGGGGAATCGCTCCGGAGGCTTGGGCTTGACCGTGTAGGAATTGCCGTATCGTATGGACAATATATGGCTGAATTGATTTCTGGCAGCTGGAGCTGAGCTCGAGACCACCCTCCCCCCTATAAATAGGCAAACCAGGGAGTGGGGGTTAAGGTCCAAAATCCTCTCATTGAAATACGCACGTTTCGGGCCCAACCTTTCCCGGCGCAAAGCCCTCTCAGAGGCGTTGGGTGGGCCAGCGAGCCGATGGACGGCAGGCTGGAGACGCCCGGCCCGCTTTCCGCGGGCAAGCCCGGACATCCGAACCTCTCGGACCAGGTTTTCCGAGGAAGGCAATTCACCGCGTCGCACCACCCGCCCCGCCGGCCTGGCGCCGTTTTCGCCCGGTGAAGCGTGTCGGAAATGCACGGCTTTAGGGCGACGGCGTGCGGCTGCGGCAGTTTTTTTTTTCCCCAGGACTGCAATCGGCCGCGCCACCCCACCAGTCCCCGCTGCTCAGGAGCCGGGCTTGTCCAGACCCGAGGGGGAATCGCTCCAGAGCCTTGGGCTCCACCGTGTGGAAATGGCCGTATCGTATGGACAATTTATGGCTGTACTGATTTCTGGCAGCTGGAGCTGAGCTTGAGACCACCTTCCCCCCTATAAATAGGCAAACCACTGAGCGGGGGTTAAGGTCCGAAACGCTCTCATTGAAATAGGCACGTTTTGGGCCCAACAGACCCTGACGAGAGACGCTCCTGAGAGCCGGAGATCCGACCTTTCGCGGACCACGAAGTCCGAGGACGAAATCTTCAGCGGGCGCCCACGCAACTCCGCCCGTCCGGCACTCACGGCGGGACCGGCGCCGCCCGCTGCGAGACTCTGTCCCCGGGCCGGAGGCCACGGTCCCTCCCCGCCCGACGGCCCTTCACA